TCCGCCTGCCTCTGCCTCCCAGCACTCGGGAGGCAGAGGCAGGTGGATCTCTGTGAGCTCAAGGCCAGCCTGGTCTACATAGTGAGTTCCAGGACAGCTGGGGCTATAGGGAGACCCTGTCTCAAAAAGACCAAAAAAAATTACTTTGCTGGACTCATAAAGTTTTACTTGTGGGTGTTTAAAGACACAGAACATTTTGCTAATGTGCTGCAATGTTGTTGGTTTACATCAGCTGAGATAACAGCCGAAATCAGTCAAATATATCAAGATTTTTTAGTAGAATTAATGCCTTATTACAAAAAGTTTCCCGCACTGTTTTAATTTGGGTTTTCCCTAAAGCCAATCTAGAGACAAGGATTAGGGAGAATGAGCTGATTTGGAAGCACAGAAAAGGTAGGTCACCGAACATGTTTCTTCTCTGAGCTACTGGGATGAACCTCCATGCACTCTCTAGAAAGTCATGTGAAACACTCGCAGTATTACTGCATGGTTCTAAAGAAAACTGTCAGGAAGAGGATGACATGAGACATAAACATTTGAAGTGAGAAACTATTAGAGCACATCCACAGTATCTACTGTGGCTACAAATGCATGTAATGGGACAAGAGGATTTTGGGTGGTCCATCATCATCTATTTTACCCAAGTTCCCTAGAAAAGAGGTACAGATTCAAAGACTAAATCTAAATGCTTAATTTTGGAACTCAAGTCTACAAAATAAAAGTAAGCATATTTGAAGTTGGAAAGAATAGAACAGCAGACACTGGTGTTGCCCCGTTGCATTCCCCTAGGTTTAATCTTGAGGTTGTCTATAGTACTAGTGATAATTCTCATACACATGAATATCTTTCTATTTGACAATATAGTGTTTGGGCCATTCATGGAGCAGTCCAGAAACAAGAGGGAGTGAATGTTTCAGGCAGTAACTCTCAACCTATAAGAAATGGTTTGTGAATAGATACCACAGCTTCCTCAGACTTCATGGGACAATTCACAGACTTCTAACATTCTCTCTTAGAAGTCTTCCAGGGCGTCCAGTGTGTCCTGTTTGCTTACGTCAACATCCACCCATTAATTCATTATTGATTTCTATCCTGTTTCCCATCTCAGTGTCCCACTAAACATGAGTGTCTTCACTAAACACTCATGTTTTGGGGTTGCATCTTAAGCTACTCACACTCAATTCATGTCTCAGGATCTAGTTTTTTATTTTGACGTCAGCGGCCCATGGTCAGCTGGCACCATTGTTTCTGAGCTATGAGACAGGATATCATGGCAGAGCCAAGTTGCTTTCATCATGGCAGTCAGGAAAGAAAGAGAGCCAGTGCCAGAGGAAAAGTAGGTGGGAGAGAGAGGGTATGAGGGTCAGGGAAAGGAAGAGAGCAAGAGAAAGAGGAGAGAGCTAGTGACAAGGTATATGTTCTCTGGGCATGCTTCCAGAAATATACTTTTTGCTATTTGACCCCACCTCACCAAATGTGATCATGTTTTGAATCCATCAAGACCTCAATCTACTGAGGAGGCCAGAACCCTCAGGTTCCAATAACCTGCCAACAACTGGATCCACCAGTTGGAGACAATAAGCTTTGGGGGGTACCTTATATCCAAACCAAAACGTTCTGCCTCTGGCCACCAAAAGTCACATCCATCTCATGGTGAACAATGTATTTAGTCTATCTTGAATATATTCCTTTTTAAAATATTTCTATCAATTCAAGAATTTCATACAATGTATTTTGATCATATTCAGACTCCCTCCCCTTTTCCATCCCACCCTAGTCCACCCTGACTTCATATTCTCTAGTATTATTTCTTGAGCCCATCAAGTCTAATCTGTGTTCTCCCAAATGCTCTTGGGTGGGGGTCCATCCATCGGAGTCTGGTCATCCTACCAGGTGATACACCAGTAAGGAAAACCAACCCTTTCCCAGAAGTTATCAGTTGCCAACAGATTTTCATCCGGGGCTCGGGGTTCTTGCCATCCTCCCTCATCTATGCTGGATTTTTATCTGGCTTGGGTTTACACAGATCCTGTGCAAGCTTTCATAGCACCCTGGGTTCCTATGTGAAACTATCCTCTGGTGCTCAGACAGTGCAGTTTCTTTGTATTTATATACCACCTCTGGCTCTTACAATCTTTCTGTCCCTCTTCTGCAATGAACCCTGAGCTTTGAGAGGAGAGGGTAGGTGATATAGGTGTCCCATTTGGGGCTGAGAACTCTACACTCTTTTTATTCTCTGCATGCTGACCAGTTGTGAGTCTCTGTGTTAACCACCATCTGCTGCAAGAAGAGCCTTCTGTGGTGATAACAGACTCCCTCTTTTGGAATTGTTAATGAGATACCATAGATCCTCAAATAATACTGGTTATTGCCATTGCAGTTTGTTGTTCACCAGAACTTGACAGTCAGACCCATTGTTGAAGACACTACACACGAGTCACAGAACAAACAAGGAGAAATCAAGCTGGTACTAACCTTGAAGCTCGTCTCTGCTAGCTAGCTTTCATAGTTTAGAAGGTTCTATGCATGTTACTGTCAGAGAAAGGTAATCATCAACCTTACCCAGCTGTGAACTCTGTGAGCTACAATACCAACTGGCTCAGCAAAATATGCCCACTGATGAATAACCCACCTTCCACTTGGATTTAAGACCTGCTTCACAAAATGGAATCCCTACCTGACACTGTTATCAGGATTAAGAGCCAGTGGCTAGATAGTCACACACCATAGGGGAGAGCCTACTACTATTATTCTGCTAAGTAGACATAGCATTATACCTAATCCCAATGACTTATTGTTATATCCATAGATTAGGTCCAGCATTTCTTAAAAGTCAAAGTCTGTAGTCTCTCAGACTAAGGGAAACTCTTAGCTGTGAGCCCATGTTTACAAAGATAGATACGGTCAAGATACAATGGCACAGAGTAAACAAACCTATTTCAAAAAAGCAGAAGGTCAGGGCCAGCAAGATGGCTCAGTGGGTAAAAGTACTTTGAGTTTGCTCCCCAAAACCATTTATTTAAAAAAACTAGATGCAGTGATATGCATCTGAAATTCTAGAAACTCCTATGATGAGATAGGTGGTAGAGATAGGAGAATGCCCAGAAGATGGCAGGCAGGAAGCAAGAGTTTCACTGCAGCAGAGGCACTGCCTTAACAAGGCGGAAGGAAAGAACTGACTCTCAAAAGTTGGCCACTGACCATAAACATGCTGCAACATGCTCATGTGTGCATGCAAACACACACACACACACACACACACACACACACAATTCATGAGCATAAAAAATTTTAAGGATGAAAGTAGCATTGAAAGAAGAGGTGGAATGAAAGCAAGATCAAAACTTGGCACACATTAAATCCTATAGTTCCATGTCAGGGATTTGGGCCTCTCCCCACAGCTGGATTTGCACATTGCTGGGAGCCTTCCCAGCAGGTACCTCACACTCCCGCCATCTCCAGCTTCTGAAGGTCTTCATTGCATTTTCATTCACTCACAGCTTCACACATCGTCCTTAGGTCACCTGGCCCTGCCACACATTTTCTGGTCTCCAAGGCATCCCTTTCAAATCTGGATGGGAGCCAGTGAGATGGCTCAGTGGGTAAAGGTACTTGCAAACCCAAGCCTGACAACCTGAGTTCAATTCCCAGGACACACATGATGAAAGAAGAGAACTGACTCCTGCATGTTGTCCTCTGTCTTCACACATGTGCCATGGTACATGTATATACACACGCACACAAACACACACAAACTGAAAATTTTTAAATTAGATCTAGATTGACGCCCCCATGACTCCCGCAATGCTAGTGTTCTATACACTTGAGAAACTAGCCTCATGAAGATGTCACTGTGATTTGTTGCCAACTTGAGTAGCTAAACCTTCTTAAAACACGGCTTTAGTCAACTCTGAGTGCCTAGGCAACTGAGCATGGTGAATGAATCCTGAAGAAATGACTTTCCGGGTAATCCTCTAGGAACATGGTTTCTCTGTATCCTTTCTCAAAAGAAAGTCTTTTAAACTAGCTTATACTTTGGGGGGGGTCTTTTTTGAGACAAGGTCTCCCTGTAGCCCCAGCTGTCCTGGAACTCACTATGTAGACCAGGCTGGCCTTGAACTCACAGAAATCCGCCTGCCTCTGTCTCCCGAGTGCTGGGATTAAAGGCGTGCACCACTGTTCCAGGCTTAATCTTGAATGTGAGATGAGTAGGGTCTGGACAATTCCCAAGATGCCCTTAAGGCCTTTTTGCTATTGTCTCAGTGCAAAGTACTTGGCATCTTTTTATTTTTTATTTTATTATTTAAAATTTTTTTAAATTGAGCTTTGTATATTTCATACAACAGTTCTTAATCAAACTTAGACCCCCTCTCCCACTCCTGCCCTCCCCACTGGAGCTCATGTATTCCTCTATACATGTTAAGTCCTATCCAGTCAAGCATTTGTGCCCAGATGTCCTTTGGTGCAAGTTCATCCACTAGAGTCTAGTCAACCTATCTAGAGATCATTGGTAAAGGACTACTCTCTCTCTCTCTCACCCAGTAGTGATCAGTCTCCATTAGTTCCCAGGCTAGGGCTTACCTGCCACCCATTTCTCTTGCTCCACTCTGGGACCTTTTCTGATTGAGTTAGCATGGGTCCTGTGCTCAGTGCTACCATTGCCATAAGTTCGCATGTACAAGCTTCCAGTGGCCTGAAAGCCCCTGCTTCCCTGTGTTCATGAACCAACCCTGGCTCTTACAGTCTTTCCACCCACTCTTCCACAATGATTCCTGAGCAGTGGGTGGGAGAGGTTTGATATAGAAGTCCTATCCAGGGACACACACTCTGCAATCTCTTATTCTTTAAAAGTTGACCATTTGTGGCCCCTTGTGTGCGTTGCACTCTATTACATAAGGAGGCTTCACTGGTGACAGCTGAGGAATGCACTAGTTTTCTCTCTACCCCTGGTTCCACTATGTTCCATGAGTCTTAGGTGCAGAGGTTCCATTGTAGATACGCCACCTAGGGCTGGACATCTCTCAGATGTATATTCTCTGTGGAGAACTCCATTGTGTAATGTACCATATTTTCATTATCCATTTGTCAGTTGGACATTTAGGTTGTTTCCATTTTAGCTATTGTAAAAAGAGAGCAGCAACAAATATGGATGTACAGGTATCTCTACAGTAGGATGAGTCCCTTGGGTAAATGCCAAGGAATGGTATAATCAGAATATATGGTAGGTTCATTTTTATGGTAGGTTGTTTGAGAGTTCTCCACACTGCTTTCCACAGTGGTTGTACAAGTCTGTATTCCCACCAGGAGTGAATGAGCATTCCCCTTTCTCCACATACTCACCAGCATTTGGTATTTTTCATTCTTTTGATCTTAACCAGTCTGACTAGGGTAAGATAGAATCTTAAAGTGGTTTTATCTGCATTTCTCTGATTACTAAGGATGTTGAGCACTTTTTAAAGTGCTTCTTAACAGTTTTTATTTCTTCATTTGAAAACTCTGTTCAGGTCTATAGCCCATCTTTTTATTGGACTATTTTCTTATTTTTTTTGAGTTCTTTGTATATTCTGGATATTAATCCTCTGTTGGCTGTGTAGCTGGTAAAGATTTTCTCCAACTCAGTGGGTTTCCTCTTCACTTCCTTGGTTTTTTCTTTTGCTGTACAGAAGCTTTGTAGCTTAATGAGGTCCCACTTGTTGATTGTTGACCTTAGTGCCTGAGCAGCTGATGTCCAATTTAGAAAGTCATTTCCTATGCCTGTATCTTGGAGGGTACTGCCTATGTTTTCTTCTAGCAGTTTCAGAGTTTCAGGTTTTATATTGAGGTCTTTGATTCATCTGGAGTTGACTTTTGTGCAGGGTGAAAGATAAAGGTCCAATTTCATTCTTCTACAGGCGGAGATCCAGTTTTGCCAGCACCATTCACTGAAGATGCTGTCTTTCCTCCATTGTGTGTTCTTGGCACCTTTGTCAAATATCAGGTGGCTGAATTTACAAGTACTCATGTTTGGGTCTTCTATTGTGTTCCATTGATCTATGTGTCTATTTCTATATCAGTACCATGCTGTTTTTATGACTATAGTTGTGTAATATAATCTGAGATCTGGTATGATGATCCCCTTTTGGTCTGGAGGGAACATACTTCAACATAATTAAAGCTATATACAACAAACCCATAGCTATATTCACTCTAAATGCAGAAATGGAAGCATTCCATTAAAATCAGGAACCAGACAGGGCTGTCCATGATCTCTTGCAAGAGCAATAAGACAAGAGAAGGAAATTAAAGGAGTACTAATTGGAAAAGAAGAGGTCAAATCATCACTACTTGCAGATGACATGATATTATACATAAGAGATCTCAAAAAGTCCACCAGAAAGCTGTTAGAAATGATTAATACTTTCAATTAAAAATGAGATAATAAAAAATATTTTTCTTGGACAGGCATAGTGGCACATACCTTTAATCCCAGCACTTGGGAGGCAGAGGCAGGCGGATCTTTGTGAGTTCGAGGCCAGCCTGGTCTACATAGTGAGTTCTGGGACAGCTGGGGCTACAGGGAGACCCTGTCTCAAAAAGACAAAAATTTTTTTTTCTTAAAAACAAACAAAGAGGAATGACTCCAGGCGTGGCAGTGCACGCTTTTATTCCCAGCACTCAGGAGGCAGAGGCAGGTAGAGCCCTGTGAGATGGAGGACAGTCTGGTCTACATAGTGAGCTCATATGGACTGCGACTAGGGAGACCTGTCAGAACAAAACCAAACCAAACAAAATGAAACAAAACCATAAAAAAAGAAGAATGGATATGGGAAAAGAGAAAGGTAGGATTTTTAAAAAACATTTTATTGATTCAAGAATTTCATACAATATATTTTGGTCATATTCAGACACCCTCCCCTATTTCCTCCCTCACCTCTTCTTTTTCTCATCGGTCAGAAATGCTTGGTTTTCCTCATCAAAGTTAGTTATGTGCAGCCCTTGCAGGTTATACTTTGGCTATTTCTGGGTCTCACTCAGCACACACACTCACCCCATTGTAGACCCAGGCATTCTCCAACAGGTTGCTTCCCCACAGGGTTTTACTGTGGGTAAAAGCAGAACCCAGGTCCTCACAGCAGGCAGCAGTTAGCTCATGGGCCTCCAATCCAAGATTCTCTGAGTGGCAGTTGGGAAGTTTCACAGCTTCACATGACTTTACATCGTGTCCTCTAGTTTATTTGCTGAAATCTGTAACTTCTCAGGGATGATTGTGCGGAATGAGGCCCTGAAATAGCCAAAGAGTAACCTGCATGCACTCGGGCTTCAAATAACTGACTTTGATGGGGGAAACTGGAGTGTATCTGATGGCTGAGGAAGAGAGAAATCCCTGCTTGACGATCCCAAGTACTGTGTACGAGAAACAGAAAACAAGTGTAAAGTTTCCATTGCAAGAAAACTGTACATATTCCTACCAAAAACCCTGTACAAAGCACAGAGTGGCTCCTTACTTTGGTCCATCTGTGTGTATGATTTACAGACCACTGGCATTCTAATGAGATAAGATTTCCTTGGCACTCAGTTCAGATGTGTTATGTAAGATGGGGTTTTTCATTTGCTAATAGGGGACCTGAAGTTGGGAAGGGTGGTTGGGGGTGGTAAGATGAGGGAGGGGATGCGAGAGGGGATTGAATATGATCAAAATACATTGTATGAAATTTTTGAATCAATAAGTTAAAAAGATGATATGGCACAGTTTTGGGGTGTGGTGAAGTGGTTGGGCACTTGCCTAACATGGGTGAAGTTCTGAGCTCTTGGCTGTGATGCCTGTACTGCAAAACAGGAAAAAAAGTGAAAAAAAATTAAAAACCCAAGAAACTCAGAACTGATGTACTGTGTGAATTTCATAGCTCAGTAGTTAAGAGTGCTTGCTGCTCTTGCAGAGGACCTTTCAGTTCCCAGTACCCATGTTGGGCACTTCAAAACTGCCTGTAGCTCCAGCTCTTGGGGATCCAGTGATGCCTCTCACCCCCACAGGCACCTGCATTCAAGTGCACATACCCACACACAGACAAATAGGTTTTTTTGGTCTTATTGAGACAGGGTCTCCCTGTAGCCCCAGTGGACCTGGAACTTGCTATGTAGACCAGGCTGGCCTTGAACTCACAGAGATCCACCTGCCTCTGCTGGGATTAAAGGCGTGTGCCACCACACCTGGCATCAGACACAGTTTTTTAAAAAATTCTTTAAAAGGTGAATTTAAATATACAAGACACTTTTTTTTTCATTCCCCAGGGATTTTATTTCTATATGAAAGTCTCAGTAATTCATCAGGGGAATCGTTGACAATTTCTTCTAGTGATTGATACTGATTCTGTTCACTCTGTGGCCCCATTTAGTATTTAATGAGATCAATTATGTGGATTTGGATGTCCTGCAGCACTTTCTTCAGTGTCCACGATTGCTGCTCTTAAAATTGCACCAAAAAGAAGTGCGACCAGAATGAGAATCATGCGAGTGAAGAGAACAAGCAGGATCCTGTTTATACTCATGCGTATCTGGGCTTGAAGACCTTGGTCATTGGTAGGTGGAGGGCCACTGTCTTCACTACCACCCATTCCTCTCTGGTCACATGATGGTGGTTGCCAACCATATATACAGTGACAATGACTCTTGCTGTTACACACCCCTCTGAAATTACAAGTGCTGACATCACAGTCAAAACCGATGTCTTGATGAAAAGTGCAGTTCTGCCTACGACAGAATTTCCCTGGGCCACAGGTTGCACCATCCACGACAAGCCCCATTTCTGGGACTTCTGATCCGTGGTGTGCATCATAGCCAAAGCAGTGTTCTTCTTTAAGATCTTGTACTCTTATATGATGAAATGTAGTATGCTCACCTCCACCAGGAACACGAGTGACATCTCCACAGTGCAGCAGTCCACAAAATACATTATCATCTTCACATACAACAGGTTTGCTTCCCCCTCTTTGCAAACTCACCCCGCAGTTTCCAAATCGGTCACCTCTGCGATTCAATTCTTTGTAGCATGCTGGTGAGCCATCGTGGACTTGGTATCCGAAAAGAGCCTGACACTGTGTGTCTCGGTCGCTGCAGTTTCCAGCCATACATACTGATACTGCTGAACAGGGGGTTCCATCTTGAATGTGAAAGTCCTCTGGACAATTCTCTGACTTTCCATCACAGTATTCTGGCAGATCACAAATACCACGTTGGTCCCTGCAAATTGTTCCAGAGGGAGCAAATTTACAGTCCAGGCAGCAAGTTCCTAAACTACACACACTGCCCATAGTTAGTGTACAGTCGATGTTACAACACTTACTAGAGGCACACTCTTTGAAGGAGCCACAGTCACATTGCTCAGATTCACCATGGATCTTATCTCCACAGCGAGATAATGTGTAGGGAAAATTAGTATAAGGAATATTAAGACTACTCAGGCAAGTGTCCCAACCATTGATCCTTCCATATATCACAGCTTGAGAACAATTGCTTAGCATATCCAGAAGGCCAATATTTTCATTCATGACACAATTGCGTCTTCTAAAACAAACACAGCCCACCCTGTCATGGCGCATGCCCAGGCTGTGACCTAATGCATGGGCTAAAGTAGTTGCAGCCAGAAATACATGGTATCTTGCCACATGGAGTAATATTGCTCCCCAGTAGGCATTGCACATTCCATTAAAATTGGCATAATAATTGTTGTTTTGAATCTTATGTCCTGTTAAAATCACTGCGACAGAACTTTCTAGCTGTCCATGAAATTTTGTTCTCAAGCTGCCATAGTCTGTTAACATCGATCCAGGTTGTTGATTTACAAGATCTATGGCATCGTTTTGGTTCCATAAGCATATAGCACGTACAAAGACATTCAAACCACTTGGTTTATAGATGGTATCTGCTATGTTGGTCATAATCAGTACACTCTCTACCATGAAGGTACGGTTGTCATTTTTCTTGATAAGTGAGTTAGATAACGTGTAGAGAATTCTTATGTGTTTCATATGTAACTGCCACAAATAAGCTGGTGCTGCTCTGGGACTTTCAATAAGATTTTCCTCTTCAAGGAATTGATTTGCCACTTCCCCTATCTCATCACTGTTACACTTGTTAGACTCCTGTGTCCTTTCTTCTAACATAAGCAGAGACACTATGTGTTCAAATTTTGAAGATGTCTGCAGTGGTTTGATTTCATAAGTGAAGTCATCTACCTGTAGCATGCCACGCAGACCTCCATAGCAGGTATCTACTGTCGCTGTAGACCCAGGGACCCCTTCCAGGTAGCTGTAGTAGTAACAGTCACGAGGGACAAATGGGTAGTCTTCTTGCATGGCTCCTTGGTCATCGTTAGTAAATATAGGAAAGTGTCTGGGCAGCAGGTTTGTCTTGAGTTTCATGTGGATCACGTGTCTTTGTCCCCGAAATCGCATGCTATAGGCAAGCTGGTCTGGCATCTCACTTCCACCCATTCTTTGGGGTACCTTCCGGGGGATCACAATTTCAGAGGTAGTGAAGCGCCATTTTGGTTGGCCTTGGAAACACCAGACACGTGACAACAGTGCCCAGAACATAGAGAGCCAGAAAACATCACCCAGGAAGGCCTGTGTCCAGGTGAATGCCATGGATATGGGAGCGGTGGACCCAAACCAATGCGCCCTGATGGGAGGTGGACAAGACTGTTCTAAGGCATTGATGTTTCCACCAGGGTGATCAGGAGGCGAGCTGAGCTAGGCAATGGGCTTATAAGTCCCTGAAAACTGCAAAATAGTTAGGCTGTTATGTAACAATGCTGTGCTCCTTAGGGCATTGTGTGCTCAGTGATCTGGAGAGCCTGTGGCAGAGGGTCTAGGGAAGCACAAAAAGTGGGAGGCACTTAGGAAAAAAGCATACACTTGTGCTAAAAAGTCTCATGTGAAATCACAAGTGGGAGAAGAATTTGGGGGTTTGGTGAAATTTTTAGGACAGGTTTGAAAACTTTTTTTGCCAGCCCCTCTGAGAGGAGAGGATTCAACATTTAATTAAGTCAGGAAACAAACAACAGCAAGACAGTAGATGCTCCTCCTATCAGAAGGCTCCAGGATAAACTATCTCTTATCCCCTTTGAGATGAGAGTTATGCTTTTGTGTCAAAAGTAGCATGGAGAGGACTGAAAGTTCATGGTGTGAACTATTTAAAGAAATTACAGAGATAAATCCATTTGAGTCTTCCTATTCACCTTGTGAGGAACCATGAATTTAGTGACGCGTGGTGGTACACACCTGTAGTCCCAGCACTTGGGAGGCAGAGGCAGGCGGATCTCTGTGAGTTCAAGGCCAGCCTGGTCTACATAGTGAGTTCTGGGACAGCTGGGGCTACAGGGAGACCCTGCTTCAAAAAGATTAAAAAAAAAAAATTCCGACAATTTGTGGTCAAATAATGATGCTGGCTGGTTGCTTCTAGTGTCTCTGGATAAAGCGATGAAGGAAAAGAATGAGCTCAGTGATAAAATTAATCTGCTCCAGATTCGCATCAACAGTCTAAAGGTTTTTAAGTGCACCCTGGAAGAGAATCTTCTCTCCAGCAGCCATAGAGGTCAAGCTGCAGAAAAATCAAGCTGAAGCCCTCATTATACTTAGACACTTGGCTGACTTACAATGCAAATTTAATTTGCAATCTTGAAGAGTGTCAGCAGTAAAAGTGAGGGTACTGTTAGGGAAAGAGTGGAATTCTATAACCTGGGATGGAAATGTGTGGGAGAAACCCTCATGAGGCTGAGGACCGAACACCCAGACTCTGAAGGGTTTATTTCACCTGATGGTTTAGTCTCTCCACCCTCAGCAGAGAATTCATCCCCACCCCCATCCCCTGAAGAACTTCCCTCCCCACCCTTGCTTGAAGGAATTAATCCAGCTTTGTCTGCTGAGTTGCCAGTGACCATTCCTGAAGGAAATGCCAGGCAAGACAATGTGGATATCCCTTAGTACCCACCAGTTGTTGCCTCTAAACTGTGAACAAAAGTTCCCAGGAAAATCCTAGGTCTTGAACTGGACTCTGCGAGGCTGACCAACTGATTAATACTTCAGTGACTGTGGGGAGTTCAGAATGTTTGCTGAGCCAGAGCTTATTTACAATAATCTTAGGCTATCTTTAGCCCCCAAATAGCCACTCCTTGCCCATCTGTTTCTGACCTTAGCATCTTGTGACTATAGAATGCATTACCTTAACAAAGAAGCAGTTCCTTCCACCAATCAAAAGGCTAGGAATCTCATCAGGTGGTCATGAGATAGTATCTGAGACCTATAGTAGAATCCCCATCCCCACCCATCTTTGCTATAATCTGCCTGCTGACTTTATCTACCAATGTATTTGAAAAGTGTCTTGATTTATGAAGTTTCTTTGTTCTGTTACTACAAAAACATTGTGAAACTGCTTCCATGCTGGAACATGGAACTGGGGTCACCGGAATCTGCATTCCTGGGCCATGGTCACTCATATTTGGCTCCAGAATAAACTATCTCTTAACCCCTTCAAGGTGAGAGTTATGCTTTCACGTCAAGACCAATAACCAGTCTCAAGGCTAAGGTGTCCCCCAGAGGTGACATAGAAAGTGTAGTCCATGAGGAGGTGCCTTACACTACTAAAAAATGAGTTTGCTAATTATTTCAAGCAGGAGTCTGTGGAATGTGTCTGAGAACAGATTTTAAAGGTGTGGGCTAGTGGTGGAAGGAACATAAAATTGGATCAGGCTAAGTTTATCAATATGGCCCTAACTAAGTGGAGAGTCAAGGTTCAATATGGAAAACTTGTGCAGTTTAAAAAGATGCCAAAAGTTTATTTGATTTGTTAGATGACATATTTATCAAAAGATGGCATACCGAGATGCCTGATATCCTTTGACTTAATATTGATGAAGGGATTTTTAAAAACAAAACAAAAACTTACAAACTGAATGCAAGAGCACATCAAAAAGATTGTTGAGCATGATCAACTGGAAGTCATCCTAGAGATGCAGGGATTTATGTATTCAACATACATAAATCAAAAAATGCAATCTGACACATAAATAAATGTTAAGTACAAAAATCACATGATCATCTCATTAGATGCAGAAAAGGCCTTTGACAAAATACAACATCCCATCATGATAAAGTCACAGAGAATCTATGAATACAGGGGATATATCTCAATATGACAAAGGCAATATACAATAAACCCACAGTCAACATCATGCTAAATGGAGAAAAATCCAAAGTTTCCCTTAAAATCAGGACCAAGACAAGGATGTCTACTCTCTCCATTCCTGTTCAACATAGTGCTTGAAGTTTTAGCTAGAACAGTAAGACAGGTGAAGGTGATAAAGGGGATACAGATTGGAAAGGAAGAAGTCAAAATATTCTTATTTTCAGATGAAATTATTCTGTACATAAAAGACCCTAAAGGTGCCACCAGAAAACTTCAGGAGCAGATGAACACATTCAGCAAAGTAGCTAGCAAGATACAAAGTTAGCACAAACCAACCAGTCCCATTCATGATAACCTCAAAAAAAAATCTTGAAATAAATATAACCAAGGAAGTGAAAGACTTGTATAATAAAAACTTAAGAAATTGAATAGGATACTAGAAGATGGAAAGACCTCCTATACTTGTGGATCAGTAGGATTAATATATATTGTGAAAATAGCCATGCTACCAAAAGCAATTTACAGATTCAAAGCAATTCCCATCAAATTTGCAACATAATTCTCCAAAGAAATTGAAAACATAATCTTAAATTTCATTGATTTAGAGGGGGAATGAAAGCATAGGCTTTCCCAACTAAAGATAATTCATGTATCGGGCCAAGGTGGGTAAGGGCCCAACAACTACCTTATTAGGGCAGAAGATGAAGAGCTATTATTTCCCAGTCTAGCCTAGAGAACAGATACATGCCAACCCAGGTGAATATTGGCCTGCATCCTGGGAGTATGGCCCCATTTGAAAAAGGACAAAGCACTTTGTAGCTCAGGCAACATTTCTGTGGTAGGGACCCTGAGTGCCTTGAAGGCAACTTAGATGACGTGCTCAGCGCTTGCATCTCTGTAGCATCCAGAGTGTGATTTCCCTAAGAGGAATGAGCAAGTGCAAGGGTACTGCTTAATATTTCAAGTACCTGACAGAAGAGGAATGATCCTGTTGTGGGAGGGTCCTGGCATCTCCTTTTTGTTTTATGGTACCAAGTTGGTATTATTGCCCCCTGAAAAAGCTGTAGATGGGGCTCACAAGGGAGTGTCTGGGCCAAACCAGAAACCATCTCCCTAAATTGGTAGAAGGTCAGGAAGGATTGGGGTAGCCTCTAAGCATCCTAGTAGCCTGATATAAGGTCTTTGAGGGTAGGGAGCTGTCTAACAAGCAGCAAGCGTTAGTACAGTATTGTCAAATGGTCCAAGGTGGTCCAGCATTTTATGTGACTTAAATTTCAGTTTGGCACAGTGCTGCATGTGAGGGGACACTGAAATTGAGTTTAGGTGTTCTTCATGCTCTGGGCAAAGGTACCAGTCCAAGAAAGCCAGGTGGCTTTTGCTTTTATTTTCTTACAAAACACTACCATTTACTGGTTGCTAGATGCTACTGACACATTCACAATAGCAAGCGCTACAAAAGTGTGTTAAGTATATATTAGCAGATAATCAGGAGTTGGGTTTGTTTTGTTTACCACTTCACCCTACTCTGGCTTCAGAAAATACAAAGGTTTTCTAGTCAGTTCAGCTGTAATGAACTTGACTAGTTCCTGAAATATTAACCAACTACAGAGGAATGAAAAATATAACCCTGAAGCATAGCTTCAAACACCAAAATCAGTGTGAAAGAAATGGGTGTGGCATCATTCTCTGTGTTGGAGCATTGTGTGCGTGTTGCAAAATGCAACGCTTTTTACCTCCATAAGCAGCTGGATATGAATTACGTATGACATTCCCAATGGCAGGTGATGTATTCCCAAATAAATACTACTAAAGACTGAGTTTCTGTCCTCAGTGGTTATTATGATCGTTGCTTTGCAGCAAACAAAAACACCAGTCACAAATTAATGGTGTGTTGTGCTTGTTCTTTCTCTTAACACACAGAGCAATAAACAAAAGTGCACATTTTGGTATCTGTCCAAGAAAAGGATCTGTTTATGTAAAATAAATTGTGGTCAAGGTGGTGTGTGAGAGGAAGAAAAACCAGGCGATGAACTGTGTTGTAAGAAATAAATGATTCAACTGGTAAAATATGTTGGGGCATGACAGATAGAAAACAGTCCAGATTGCCTCAAGTCTTTGGCCTCGTCCACTGCCCGAGTAGTCAGCACTAGCCGCCAAGGTTCTTGACCCCACCAGTCACCCAAGATGGAACTGCCTATATCCCCAAGGCTTTGGCCCTGTCAGGTACTAAGCACAGCAATGCCAAGATGACTGGGTTTTTTTTTCCTCTACCTCCTTCATTGCTCCAGAGATGAGCGTGTGAGATCCAATGCGTTGGTCCCCCTGACCACGCCGAAGCTCAGAACCCTAGCCAAGGTTTCAGCCTCACCTGTCATCCTGTTGTCACCTAGCCAAGGCAGTATCATCTCAAGCACCCCATTCACAAATCAGAATTAATGTGTAATACCCCGAGTGCCCCGCT